GGCGAGTGCCACCATGTCAGCACCAGAGCGGTACAACACCGCCGAGATTCAGAAGCAGCAGCGACAGCAGCGAGAGCAAGTGGCAACTCGACTTGGGTCGAAGCGGCCGCCGCCGCCAGTGCAGCACCGTGTTCCTCGCCCACGCAGAAGCGAGGCCACACAGTCGCGTTTGCTTGCGAGTTCAGGTGACTCGGACTAGGCCCGACCTGGCCCACGGCCGTCCCCTGGGCGGCGTTCGTGGGCCTGGAGGGGCCACTCGCCTCGCGGGCACAGCCCTCGGCTTCCACAAGGCAGGTCGAGGCCCGCCTGGCCACCCCAAAGGAGGGTGAACTCGGCCATAGCTGTTTGCGACTGGCCTGTAGCAGGAAAAAAAGAAAATCGACCTGGCAGGGTGAGTGCTCCTCCTCCCTCATCCCTCCTCCCTCCTCCCTCGTTCCTCCTCCCTCCTCCCTCTTCCCCCCTCCCTCCTTCCTGTTTCCTCCGTTCCCTCCTCCCCATTTCCGACTCCCTCTTCCCTCCTCTTTCTCCTCCTCCTCCTCCTCCTCCTCCCCCTCCTCCTCCTCCTCCCAGAGCCGAGCAAACGGCGATGTTGCTTAACGGCGAGGTTGATAGTCTGATGTTTAAGAGCGCCCGCTCGCAGTGTAAACTCGATGAATTCGGTGCCATGGCGCACTTACTTTCCATCTTGACGACAACAAGCTCCAACATCCTTGTTCAAGTGTTCCCGAACGCTTACAGGCGTCAAAGCCGTGCGCGCGCCGCACGTGCAACTATCGCGCGCGCTCGTTTGAACTCGGACGTCGTTGCGACGCAGCACCCACGCAAAACGAAATGTAGGAAATCACGAAGCATCGTTTCCTACATGTAACATTTGCGAATGTATCGAGCGAAAACGACACCGCGAAATGTAGGAATGCACGAGCCACGCTTTCCTACAAACAACTCGGCCGCCACCAGCGCTTTCCTTCAATCGTTTTCCTGCGTCGCCGTTATCCGCGTCGCCGTGTAACCATCAACGGCGCGATATTATGAGTCCGTAGGAAATCCAATAATACATGCAAACAAGGTTGCTTTTCATGCAGGTCGCACCTGCGAGACACGGTTCCCCCGAAGCCACTGCCGCCAGCACGCGAGCCAGCCTCACCTACAATACTAAAACCTACATCGCCGTTAGCTACATCGCCGGTTGCCCGTCTACGGGGTCCTCCTCCTCCTCCTCCTCCTCCTCCTCCTCCTCCTCCTCCTCCTCCTCCTCCTCCCCCCCCTCCTCGTGCGAGAAGGGGCAGGCGAAGCTAGAGCCCAATGTCGTCAGCTACAGCGCTGGGAGTAGCGCGTGCGAGAAGTGGGAGGCGAAGGTAGAGCCCAACACCATCAGCTACAGCGTTTAGACCAAAACGTGCGAGAAGGGGCAGGCGAAGCTAAAGCCCAATATCGTCAGCTACAGCGCTGGGAGCAGCGCGTGCGAGAAGGAGTGCGGGAGAGGGATCAGCCAGACGATGTGGGCAGCTCGGCGGGTCGTCGCCAGCAAGTGGCTGCCGTACCAGTCGAGGCCCACACGCGAGGCTGAGGCAGAGCACCAGCAGAGGGTGCTGCTGCATAGGCCGTACATCACGGCCCGCGCAAAACGAAGGGAGCGCCCAGCCAAGCGCTGAGACGCGGAGCGCCAAGGAGCGGGTGCGGCAAACGGCGGGGTTCTCTGCTACCAACCCTACACACCCCGCCGCTGCCGTGGACCCCACCCTCGGCGAGGGCAGTGGCAGCCGTCTGCGGACGCTGCCAGCTCGTGCGAGAATGACGCTGCGAGGGCAGTGGCGGCCTCCGTGCGAGAAGGGACGCCAAAGAGGGCGCGGACGGGCAGTGGTGGCGTGGGCATTGTGACTGTCTGTGCGAGAAGGGCCGTCGCCTGTGGGGCAGGCCCGCGCGAATCGCGGTGCCCGCAGGCGAGGGCGCGGCCGTGGGGCCGCGGCGTGCTCCCCCTCCCCTCCTCTCCTCCACGCGACCCCAGTCGCCTCGGGAAGTGTCTTCGACGTGTCTCCTCCTCCTCCTCCTCCTCGTCCTCCTCCTCCTCCTCCTCCTCCAGTCCTGCTTCTGATAAACAATCCCTCCCTGTCGCACCACGAGGCTATTTTTTTAGGGCGGGCCGGGCGTTTCGCCTGATATGTCCCCACTATTGATGAACCTGGAGCATAGAACTTAGCAACAGTTTCACACATGGAGGGCGGATGGTGTTCAAAATGTTGCTCTCGCCTTAGCGCCGCGCATATTCGCTTTCAAAAGTTACGAGAGTTTTGCGGATTGACGGCTGGTGGTTTTCAAAATGTGGCTCTCGCCTGAGTGACTTGCCTTTCGTGTTCAGTAGTTACAAGCGTTTCACGGATGGACGGCGGGTGGTTTTCAAAAAGTGGCTCTCGCCTTCGCGCCGCGCACATTTGTTTTCAGAATTGGCAAGAGCTTCCCGGACTGAAGGCGGTTCTATTTCAAAATGTGGCTCTCGCCTTAGCGCCGCGCACTTTCGTTCTCAGAATTGGTGAAAGTTTCACGGATTCCCATGATCGGCGTACCAGAAATTTTGTTTTGGAAGGATTCACGATTATGAGCGCGCAACAGTTACGATGATTCGCAGTGGAGTCCCAGGAATGGCGTTCTAGCACGACTCAAGATCGTCAAAACGCACCAGTCAGGTTTACCCGTGGCGTAGTAATGCCGAACATATTGTTTCGGCATGCTTCAGGGTCTTCAAACGGTTGTCTCCCAACGAGGCAGGTCCCTTTGTGGAAGAGAACTGTTGTATGGGCCTATGAAGAGGGAGCTTGGGGGGAGGGTTTATCCCAACATCTTTGGTGACTCTTTGGTTTACTCTGGTCCTCCTCCTCCTCCTCCTCCTCCTCCTCCTCTTTCTCCTCTTCCTCCCCTGAAGAGCAAGGCTGGACCAGGCTGGCCAGGCTGCACCAGGCCGGAGCAAGACTCGACCAACCTCCCAGGAGTTGCAACTTGACGAGAGAAAGCTTGACCCCGCGTCCCGAAGCGTCTCGAGCAGCTCGATGGAGGCGGGCCGGGTCCTCACCGGAGGGGCTTCGACCGCCGCCTCATTCCCCTCATGCCTCCTCCCCCCCTCCATATCCCTGCTCCGTCCTGCTCACTTTTCTCTCCTCCATCCTTCTCCCACTTTCTCCCTCCTGCTCCCTCCTGTTCCCTTCCCTCTCCTCCCTCCTTCTTCTCCTCCCACATCGTACCTCCTAATCCTTCCTCCCTCTGCCTCTCTCCGATCCCTCGTTATCTCACCTCCAACTACTCCGGTCTTCCTCCCGTCAGGCCCCCAGGGAGGGGAAAAAGGATGAGGAGGGGGTACAAGTAAAAACAGCTAGTAGGGATAACAATGGAGAAGGACAGCCCCTCATTCACACGCACAACAGGATCACTAAGCGCAGACTCTGGAGGAGGTCCTGCGTTTGCTCCCATCCTCGGGAGCCTCCATCCTCGGAAGCCTTGAGATCCGGGTCAATGCAAACGGGAGTCAGCCAGGGCGCAAGACCTTGCATGATCCTGCAAGGCCAGGGCTGCATTGACCCAGGCTAGCGTGAAGGATCCTGCAAGATCTTGCAAGATATTGCAAAGTCTGACTGACACGGATTTGCAATGACCCGGGTCAGAAGGTCCCCGAAATCCTCCTTCATCTCTTCTTCCGCCTCCCCTAACTCCCCGCCTTCATACCCTCCCCCTACTCCTCGCCGACCCTGGCCGCAGGATGCACAAGGCGTCGGACATTCAAGCACACGCATACGAGCACGCTGCACCATGTTACCCTTCTGACTTTGAACTTCGGGGAAGCGGGAACCCCATTTTGAAAACGAACCTCCCCCCATCCGTGGGGCTGCTACGTCAACATTCGAGTCGTTGGAAAGGAAGTCTGCAGCGAGGGCCCCATCACAACAAGGAACCGTCCTTCATCCCTGCAGCGATGAACTCGTACGACAAATCTGCGCAGAGCTGAGGCTAGAGGCCAGATGACTACACCCTTGCCTAGAGCTAAGACAATTTTACGCTGAGAAACTGAGCATCCATCATCTGAAGCGTGATCTTAACCAATAGCACAAGGCCATACATATATCTATCTATATATATATACACATACGAAAGCTGTGTGAAACCAAAGAACTCCGAGCAAACGCCCAGGGTCCGGCCCAGAATCTTGATTTTCTTGAGCGGAATCTGGAGTCCATGAAAGTCGGCGCGTTTTATAAAGATGTCTGATGGTGTAATTTGAAGACGGAGCAGCTCTCCATGCCCTGCAACTGCTGCAAACATCTTGAGACGAACGTGCGCGGCGCACAGGTGAGAGCCCCTTCTTGAGAAGGGAGCCGCCCTCCCCCTTTTAACTGTGGCAAGACTTAGGACAAAGTGAGAATTAGATCGGGCGTGTCCTCCTGCAGGCGGGTTCCCGCAGGAAAAATGTAGACAGTCAAAACCATCAAGACAGAATAGTCAAACGAGCACGAACAATCATCACCATCATATGTTGTACTATTCTTGAATACTCCTGTAGATGGACATGCCAGGCGCAATGCAAGAGCTCCGTTTCGAAAATGGCACCGCTCCATCATCGTCACGGCTGCAAGCTTTCAGCAAGAATGTGCGCGGCGCTCAGGTTAGAGCTCCCCTTTGAAAACGACCCCCCTTCCATCCCTGTACTGGTCGCAGACACAGATGTGCGCGGCACTGAGGCGAGAGACCCCATGCTGACCCCCCCCATCCCTCCGTGCAATTCTTGCACATGCCAGCGTGCAAGATGTTGAGTGCCTGGCCCGCCCTGCCGTCACGTGCGGGGGAGTGGATAGCGAAGAGTTCCGTAGACAGGAAGAACAGATGGAGAAAGGAGGAGGAAGAGGAGGAGGAACGAAGGAGATTGAAGGAGGGGATCTGGCATGAGACAGGAAGAGGAAGAGCGATCCCAACCGACCCCCTGCGCATGCATTGGGATCGTTTTTTTTCCGAGATTGCAAGCCCCGGTCTGTCCTAGACATCGAGCACACTGAGGGCGCCAGAAGGCTGCGCGTTTTGCGCAATCCGCAAGGACGCCCGCGATGGGCCGAGAACTCAGCTCGGCAACATGCACCGGGCCGTGCGGCAACTTGCCGAGCGGACGCCGTTCTATAGGGTGGATGGAGGAGGAGTGCAGGATGTCCAGATGTTGCCGGGGGCCAGGGGCCAGGGGCACCCTGGGCGACCTCTTGGGCGCAGCTGCTACAGGCTATGGGACGCACTCTGCAGCTTCTCGCAGGTGTCGCTGAGCAGGCTCTGGAGCCTCTCCTCGGTCCTCTCCCGCTCGCGCCGCTCTGCCGCGATCTCGCCCTGCATCTTCGCCACCACCTCCTCCATCATCCTGTATGGGGGCAGGGCGACACCTGCTACGACTCCTCCCTGGGGCTCTCCCAGGAGGGGCTCTGGCCAGGAGTCCGAGGCGACTCCAGCAGCGTCGATGGGGGCCCCCAGGCCCGAAGAGACGAGGGGACGGGTGTCGGTATGGGCGTGCCATTCTCCTCGGACATGGGACGAACAGAGACATTATAGTACCGTATGTCCTCCTTGTAGACGCGTGTCCGACACGCACATATAGTATACTCATCTTGTAGTAGATCGTTTCCCGAGCGGTGTGGCCAGGAAGCGCCCGCCACGATACATAGACTGTAAGAATTCTAGGTGCGCGCGTCGTCCATGCAGAGGCGACGCACACATAGTATTAGCATGTTGGGGTGACGCCGACGACATCCTGAGCATCGCCTCCTCTGTGTCCTCTCGCTCCTTCTTCTCTGCAAGAACCGCGCCCTGCAACTGGGTCACCTCCTCCATAGCCTTCCTCAGCATCCGCTGCTCCATCGCCTCCCGACTGCCGACCTCCTCCTTGAGGCTCTCGTAGAGCTTGGGGATGTCGACCTCCAGATACCTCCGCAGATTCGCCTCGTTGTCCTGAGGTGAGCAGAAGGGGTTAGGAGGCAACTGCTGGGAGGTCTTCGTCCGGAGGATGAAGGAGGATTAACCCCACTGGGGGACTGCTACGCCTGAGTGAGCCTCGGACTAAGCGGGATTGAGCCGGATTAAGCGGGATAAAGCGGTAGTAAGCCGGATTAAGCGGGAATCAAACGGATTCAGCTGGACTTTGGACCAGGGCAAAATCAGAATCTGACCTCCCAGGAGTTGCAGCCGAAAAGGGGAACGGATTGGCCATGTGGGCCGGAGGTGGTAGCTCCCCCAGGCAGCCCCAGCTGGCCTCAACGGGCTCCCCGAGTAGCCGGGGCCGGTCTCAGCACCCCGAACCACTGTGGGCGGTGCGCCTGGGGCGCTCCGCTCCCCAGGGTTGAGGTGATGACGCCGCCCCGGTCGGGGGGCCTGTTGAGGCCATCCTGGACTATATACCTGGGATAGCTGTCTGTCCGCGACCGGGCTTTTGTGGGGGCTCTGGGATCGACCACAGGATTGACCTACCCCAGATTTGCCCTTCTCGCCGGATCGACGAACAGATGGAGCATGCTACGTCTCTTTCTCTCGCCCATCCGACGGACAAATCAAGCCTGGGCTATACATCCTTTCTGTAGTCGATCCCCTACTCGAGCCTTGCCAGTCGGAGGAGGGCAAATCGAGACAGCAGCGCTTCCTCCGGGAGGGCCCGATCCGCTCAAAGCCGGCCTCCAGACCTCTCCCAGGGGTCCTTCCTGCCCGACCTGCTGAAGCGGGTCCAGCCGTCGTGGCGACGAGGAATTTCCAGGACGCAGAAGAGGAATGAAAAGCGCCAGGGAAGGCCGCCGGTGTCTCGTCGTCGTCGTCGTCGTCGTCGTCGTCGTCCTCGTCCTCGTCCTCCTCCTCCTCGTCTTCGTCATCGTCCTCCCGAACAGGCCTGGCGATCCCGCCCTCTCCTGGGGAACGACTCGGCACTGATACCGCTACGCCCTGAACACTTCTCCCGCAAGGTGCGCTCTGACGAAGAGCGTCGAGGACAGCCCATCGGTGGTGGCGAGACCTCTCCAGAACGATACCCGTGCTTCTACAGGTCCCCCAGCGTGGCGCACCGCACCCCGCGACGTGCGACGCGCGATCCTCCTCGCGCCACGGGGCCCCCGCGCCGCCCCCCCCCCGGCAGGAGGGCACCCGCGCCGGCTCAGACCGCGACGCGCGAGGCGCGGCGACCTCTCTTCGCGACCCCGCGGGCCACCCTCAGTACTCCCCATCCTGGTGCCAGTCCGCCCCTCTCTGCGCCCCTGGTGTTCATCTGAGCGGCGATCGAAGACGGGTCTTGCGCGAGATGACGCAGCGACCTGACGCGGCGGCTTGCGCGGGCCGCGCGCGCGGCACGCCACATTGGAGACGAGGGCGCTGACGCGCGACCTTACGCGGGCAGCGTACGCGCCAATGTCGGCGCCGACGACCCCGTATTTTTTTGGGCGGCCCTCATCTGGAGGCGACCGTTCGCCTGGGGAACGACCAAGCACCAAGAACGCTACTTCCTGGACCTCTCCTCCCCCCTGGCGCGCTCTGACCAGCACGCCGAGGAAAAGCCAGTCGCAGCGACGAGAGCTCTCCAGGACGAGCGTTGGTAGAGGTACACCTCGTCTCCCCCTGCACCACTGCCCCCTTGCCGCCCCAGAGGTCCATCCGGAGGCGACCGTTCGCCTGCATCTCTTCCCGGATGCCGCGCGTCTTCGCCTCGAACGTCTGCAGCACCCTCGCTTCCGACTCCCGGCGCGCCTCCTGCTCGGCCGCGAGGCTGGCCTCACGCGCGGCGAGCTCTCCCTCTCACGGTCTGGATTTCGGGGCGCGATGCCGCGGATGTACGCGATCGCACCGACACGTTCCGCGCGGGGCATCCAATGACAATCGAGGACGGCGAGAAGGTTTGGTTCAAGAAGGGTGATTCCGACGGCTGCTGGGGCGCCTCAGGCTGGGCTGGAGGGACCTCGAGTCCAGCGAAACCAACCTTGTCCAACGAACCCTTCTGGCAGCCTCCGAGACAAGAGCGGCCCGTGTCCGCAGGGTCGCGGCCCCGGGGCCCGGCCCGCGAGGCCGCGGAGACGGAGACAGCCATGGCACTGCGAGGAAGAGCGTTACATGAGGATCGAAGTGGCGCTTCCGGCCACACTAGGCCTCGGCGCCACGAATGGACTCCGCGACCTAGGTCTGAGGTGCTGGCCGAAGACCTGAGGCCCTCCAAATAGAATACGAACAAACATTATAATCATACACTTTTGGAGCACGGCGCGGATTTCTTGGATCTGCGCTGGACCCCCCTCCCTGGCGCGCGGAGCACGCCAGGGGCGGCGCCGGAGGCGCCGCCAGGGGGGGCCAGCGCGGATCCAGGAAATCCGCGCGAAGCGCCAACAGTTTATGTTTGTGGCATTTTTTCTGCTTCGACCAAAGCCTCACGTGGTCCTTGTATTGGCGCTTTACTGCAGGAGAACTCAACATCGAATCGATAAGTCGGATCGGCGATCGAACTGCATCGGATCGGCGGAATCGACAGCCGAGCCGGGAAAAGTCGAGTCGGCAGAAATGGGCAGGCTAAGCGGTCATCCGTTGAGAAATCGGATCCCGGATCGGAATCCCAGGTCGAATCGGACTGGATTCGGAAACCATCGAACTGGAATCGAGTCGAATCGGAGGAATCGCCCCGAGCCCTGAGACTGCATGCTCCTCGCCCACGACAGCCTGCAGGGCCTCGTCCACCCGCGCGATCTCCTCCTGCTTGTCCTTTTGGAGGTCACGGGCCGCGCACCGGCAGCGATCCCCCAGACCCCCTCGCATGCCGAATGTCCGGCGAAGTGGTTCTAAGACGAAGCTAGGACCTAGGACGAGGATTGTGCATCGGGTGAGAAACACTTGAGAATCTCTGAGATCCCGCGGCTCTGGAGGATGTGTCGGAAGCCGCGGCCTTCTCGGACCGCTCCGAAAAGCTCCGAGAGCGTTCCAGAACGCTGCGGGCCAGATGTATCCTAGTCCCAGCCCCCTCCGAAGACTCCCTTCGCCATGTTTTGCCTTTGGGGGCCCTCGCCGGTCCCCGGGACCATAGAATGAACAGCTGGTCCTGCGGGATAGGTTTAAACCTCCGGGGCCACGTTGTTAAAACAACAAAACGATGTAAACGTACATGTTTTGGCGCTCCGCGTTGATTTGTCGGATCCGCGCTGGGCCACCCTCCCCAGCGCGCGAAACGCACCAGGGGCGGCGTCGGAGGCGCCGCTGGGGGGCTCGGCGCGGATCCAAGAAACCCACGCGGAGCGCCAAAAATTAATGTTTGTGGCATTTGTTGTCCCCCATATCCTAAGATGGGGTTCTTGTTCCCCATAACCAAAGGGTGGTGCTCTTGTTATTATCCAACCGCGCCGGACCACCTACCACCTCCTCCCTCTCTGCACTAGACCATGATGATGATTGTCATGATGATGGCCATGATATGGTGAGAGTATGGTGTGAGTATGATGGTGATACTGAATGATGGATGGGTATGATGATGATGGTGATAATGCGAATGTTGATGATGATGGTCCACGCGCCGAATGAAGCCAGGAGCTCCCAGCTCGTACTGCCCAATGGACCGAGGCGTTTTTCTATGGCCCTTCGGAAGCAACGCTGGGTCTCGTGCGCCCTGGCGCACTTTTGCAAATTCGCTCGAGTGCCGAAAGGAATCAACCGCCTCAGCCGAGGCAAGCGATCAACGGCTCGCGGCAGCCAGAGCGACTCAGCACGCGCGGCAGCTAGCAAAGCTACGGCTGCAACGGGCGGGTACGCAGCAAGCTGCACACCGCACCTGAGAAGCAACCCCGTCCTGGCCCAGGCCCGAAAAACTGACGTGGTTGCGGCTCAGGTCAGCGGAGAACGACCCCGAGCGCGGGCGGACCTACGCTACTGGTTCGCCCTCCACGTCACGACTGACGGGAAGGCGTCGCCGTCGCGCACACGCGCGCCAGCAGCTACATTGGGATCAGACGGCGCCAGGCGCCAGACAGAAAGCTTGCACCGAACATCGGGCGGCCATGCAAGCACGCCATGGCCCGCCGACGCGTCGCTGCGCCCACTCTGCAGCGAGCCGACGGGCGGCGCCAAGCGCAAGATACTGCCCAAGAGGGCCGGGAGTGAGTGAACCCTGGCGCGCGCCGAGCCCCGCTGGGTACAGCCTACGCCGCGGGGCCCCTCCCCCCCAGAGGCAGCAGCTCGGCGCAGGCATTCGCGATCCTCGGACCCGCCTGCGACACGAGCAGCTGCGACGCAGCACTCGTCGGGCCGCTGGGTCCCGAGCCGCAGGGCGCCGAAGATTGAAGCGGAGCTGAAGGCAGGCCAGGCAGAAAGAAAGAAACGGCGAGATACCTGGCCCGCCACGCGGCCGTTGCCCGGGGCGTCTCGAGTGGCGCCCCGAGGAGAGAGCTGGCCGCGACGAGGGCCATCCGAGAGGCTGCCGCCGCCTCTAAGAGATCGCCCGCAGCCAAGAAGCCTCGACCGCTGCTATCGCCGCACGCGTCCCTGACCTGCATGTGCTGCCCCATATCCGCGGAGCCGCGCGGCGCCGTCGGGCTAGCCGCACTCGGCTCCGAGCAAGGGCCGATATCCACACGCCCTTCCACGACGAATCCCAACCCCGCCAGCAGCACCTCGCGGTCGAACTCGTCGCGACCGACGGCAGTGATCTGGGCGCGCCTGCGCGCAAACGGCGTCGGCGACCCGCCTGTGCCTGCTCGCGCCTCCAGCAGATCCCTGAGGGCTTCCGCGGGGGTGCTGACCCACCGCAGGTACGCGCCGGCTTCTCGAGCGTCTCGTTGCCGACGTCGTCGAGGGCGTCGTCGATCCCGTCGCCGAGCTCCTCTCCGTCGACGACGTCGCTGGAATCGTCGTCGAGCCCGTCCGCTGCATCGACTGCAGCGCCGTGCAGCGCATCCTCCTCCTCCTCGGACCCGCGCTCACCATCCACGTCGTCGTCGAGACCCTCACGGACGATCTCCAACGTGGGGGTGGAAGGGGTGAGACAGGCGTGGCGCCGCCGCGGGCACAGCTCCACGCGGCGCCGCTCCCGCAGAAGCGCGACGAGCGCCGCCGCAGAGCGAGCCTTGCGCGCCGCGGCAATCGCCGCCCGGAAGGGCTCGGCCGGCTCCGCATCGCCGACGTTTTCCTCGACGATCCCGTGCGTGGCATGGCCGAGCGCCCCGTCGAGCACCACAGGGGGTCGCGGGCTGCCGTCCCAAGCGGGGCCCTGCCGCGGCCCGCCAGATGCCCTCTGCGGACGCGCGCGCGGATCCGCCCGCAGGGGCCATCTGCGCATGCCACGCGGCGCCCCGCCGCCGCCGACGCGCCGCGCCTGGGGCGCGGCATCCCGAGGCGGCCAAGCGCAAGGCAGGGCGCGCAGCAGCCTCACGGTCCTGCCGGGAGCCTGGACCGCCGCTGGCCGCCTTGCCGACCGCCGCCACGACAGCTAGGAGGCGTCGCGCCCGCGCCCGTCGGCGGGCCGCCGAAGCGCCAACCTCGTCCTCCTCCTGCCTGCGCAGCGCGCTGCCACGCCTGATGGGCCGCCCCGCCCTCGCGCCAGTGGGCAGCCCCCCGTCGCCATTGCTCATCCCCCAATCGCGCGCCGCTGACCGCTGCACGTGGGCGCCTGCGAGAGAAATGGAGAAACAGCTTGAGCCACAATGGCTACGGAGATGATGATGATGATGATGATGCTGCTGCTGCTGCTGCTGCTGCTGATGATGATGATGATGATGATGATGATGATGATGATGATGATGATGATCGTCACGATCATGCTGCTGATGATGATGATGCTGCTGCTGATGATGATGACGATGATGATGATGATGATGATGATGATGATGATGTTGATGATGATGATGATGATGATGATGATGATGGTGATGATGATGATGATGATGATGATGATGATGATGATGATGATGATGATGATGATGATGATGATGATGATGATGATGATGATCACGATGCGCAGATGATGAGGATGTCTCGAGCGGCTTGCTGGTTTTAGCACTCCTAAAGGGGGCCGCCAGGGGTATTGCACGGCCTCCGTTCGCGCCCAAATGGTGGGGATTTCTCAAGCGGTTTGCCTGTTTCGGTCCCCAACAACCTCCGTTGTCGGAGCAGATTTTGAGGATGTCTCGTGCGAGGCGCCTCCTAGGGGGGGTCCGCCAGGGGCATTGCACGGCCTCCGTTCGCGCCCAACTGGCGGGGATGTCTCAGGCGGTTTGCCTGTGTTGGTCCCCAAACATCCTCCTCTTTCGGAGCAGATATGGAGGATGTCTCGAGCGAGGCGCTCATAGTCGCCCCTCAGGGGGCGCAGATGTTGAGGATGTCTCGATCGGTTTGCCTGTTTTGGTGGCCAGACTCGTGGGCGCGTATTCTCCCCGGGACGCAACGGGAGGCCCCAGCAGGCCCCAGGAGGCCACATGAGGTCCCAGGAGACATCAGGAGGCCACACGAAGATTCAAGAGGCCACAGGTGTCCCAAGAGGCTCCGGGAGGCCCCATGAAGCTCCAGGAGGCCTCAGGAAGCCACGGGAGGCCCCAGGAGGCCACGGGAAGCCTCAGAAAGGCAACAGGAGTGGCTCTTGCTCTTGGGCCCCACCTGGAGCACGAATCCTTGGAGTTCTACGTATGTTTCCATAGTTTGTCCTTCTCCTGTGTATATCATCCTAAATGTTTTACGTCTGTTCCTATAGATCGGGGCTGGCACGAGTCCTTGGTGCTCTGCGCGCGCTCCTATAGACTGCCCTTCTCCTGTGGCTCCAATCCGCAATGTTTTACGTACGTCTGTTCCTACAATTCGGGCTTCTCCTGGGGCGCGAATCCCCCCTGGGAGGTCCCAGGAAGCCCCGGGAGGCCACGCGAGGCTCCAAGAGGCCTCAGGAGGACACTCGAAGGCCCAAGAGGTCCCAGGAGTCCCCAAAAGGCTCCTGGAGGCCCCAGGAAGGCCCAGGAGGTTTCTGGAGGCCCCCAGGAGGCCCCACGCCCATGCGCAAAGACGCACTCGTACAACCGAGACTCATTCACGCTCCAATATGTTCGAAGTGAGATTCATGACCAAACCGTCACAAATCAAGCCCGCTTATCTTCGACAAGTCTTGCGCCTAGACTCACGGCGGGCAGGTCTATGCGAATAGATGCGCATATGGTGAGCTCCACGCAATGCATAATCATTACCTTCACCGCGCCGGAAGGACAGTCACACTCACACCCTACTCATCGCTCAGACTAGCACATGCCTCAGACTCACTCGTGCTCTGACTCGCTCTTTCTCACTCAGACTCACTCATCGCCTAGGTGCATCCATCACTCAGACCTAGACTCTCTCATCGCTCATCGCAGCATTCCATCGCTCAGCACCATGCCTTACTCAGACTCAATCATACTCTCACTCACTCTTACTCAGACTTAATCAGACTCAAGCGTGGTGCTGGTTTCAGCTGTCTCAAGGGGGGCGCCAGGGGGTATCACAGGCCCGTGCGCGCCCAGATTGGGGGGATGTCTCCCGATGTCCTAAGATGGGATTCTTGTTTTTACTTAGACGCCTCGGACCTCACTCCTCCTCGTCCCCTCCTCCCCCTTATTCCCCATTCTACTCAGAGTACGATGATGCACTCAGCGTATGATGATGCCAACTGGTGACGATAAGTATGGTATGGTATGTTATTGTATCGTGCGTTATGATATGTTTGCAATGCTCTGTTACGTTATGCTAGCTGCTTGGTTATGGTATGGTATTATCCATATCCCTGTGATGCTGATGCTGCTGATGATGCGGATGCTGCTGATGATGATGCTGATGCTGATGAGAATGATGATGATGATGACGATGATGAACATGACAATGATAATGATAATGATGATGATAATGATAATGATAATGATAATGATAATGCTAATGATGATGCTGATGATGATGATGATGACGATGATGATGCTGATGCTGATGCTGATGCTGATGCTGATGCTGCTGCTGATGCTGATGATGCTGATGATGCTGGTGATACTGATGATGCTGATGATGCTGATGATGCTGCTGCTGCTGCTGCTGCTGCTGCTGCTGCTGCTGATGATGATGATGATGATGATGATGATGATGATGATGATGATGATGATGATGATGATGATGATGATGGCGGAGCAAATTCTCCGGATGTCTCGAGGAAGGCGCGGGTTTGAGCACCCCCAAAGGGGGCCGCCAGGGGGCTCACGGCTTCCGTTCGCGTCAAAATGGCGGGGATGTCTCGAGCAGTTTGCCTGTTTGCATGTCCAACATCCTCCGCTTTCGGAGCAGATTTGGAGGATGTCTCGAACGAGGCGCTCATTTTCGCCCCCGAAGGGAGGGGGGCCAGATGTTGAGGATGTCTCGATCGGTTTGCATGTTTGGTGGCCAGACTCGTGGGCACAGATTCTCCCCAGGAGGCCACGGGAGGCTCCAGCAGGCTCCAGGCGCCCCAGGAGGCCACAGGAGGGCCCAGGAGGCATCAGGAGGCCACATGAAGACTCAAGAGGCCACAGGATGTCCCAAGAGGCTCCAGGAGATCCCAGGAAGCTCCAGGAGGCCTCACTAGGCTCCAGGATGCTCAAGGAGGCCTCAGGAGGCCACAGGAGGCACCAGGAGGCCACAGGAAGCGCCAGGAGGCACCAGGAGGCCCTGGAAGGCAATAGGAGGCCCCGAGAGGCCCCAGGAGCAGGAGGCCTCAGAAGGCCACAGTAGTGGCTCCAATCCCACGTGTTTTCCTCATGCTCCTATAGATCGGGCCTCACTTGGAACACGAATCCTTGAAGTTATGGTTCTATACATTGTCCTCTCCTGTGTATCCAATCCAAAAATGTTTTAACGTATGTTCCTACATATTGGGCCTCCCCTGGGCACGAGTCCTTGGTGTTTTACGTGTGTTCCTATAGATTGCAATGTTTGATGTGCGTCTGTTCCTATAGATTGAGCCTCTCCTGGGGCACGAATCCTCCCTAGGAGGTCCCAGGAGGCTCCAGGAGGCCACAGGACGCCGCGCGAGGCCCCAGGAGGCTTCAGGAGGCCACAGGAAGCCCCAAGAGGCTCCAGGGGGCCCCAAGAGGCTCCAGGAGGCCCAAGGAAGCCGCAGGAGGTTTCAGGAGGCCCCAGGAGGCCCCAGACAGAGACGCGCTCGTACTTCTGAGACTCATTCACACTCCAATCCATTCGCAGTTCGATTCATTCCCAGACCGTCCATGCACAAGCCCGTTTCTATTCGAACACCTTGCGCCCAGACACTCACGGCGGACAGGTCCATGCGAATGGATGCACATGTGGGGAGCTCCACGCCGTGCATCATTCTTCCTCGAATGTCGTGCCAGAATCATGACGTGGGGGGCCTCGGATCCTGGCCAGGCCCCTCCCTGGGTCCAGGGCCGAGTGCCCGCGCCCTCTCCGGGCCTCTCGGGGGCGCGCGGCGTGCACGCCCCGGTCCAGGGCGCCCCGCTGGGCAGGGCCCGGACGGGTGCGGCAGGCGGTGCAGGTGCCCGGCGGTTGGCGCCCCGCCCCGAGAGCTCCTGGGCGAGCCTCTCGCGGCAGGAGCGCTCCTCTCGGGTCGGAGGGGAGGGGGGTGACAGAAAAGGATGGCTCCTCCTCCTCCTCCTCCTCCTCCTCCTCCTCCTCCTCCTCCTCCTCCTCCTCCTCCTCGTCCTCCTCCTCCTCCTCCTCCTCGTCCTCCTCCTCCTCCTCCTCCGGCTGCGATCTGCGCAAGTGTCGCCACTTTCGTGGGTTCCTGGGAGGCCCAGCGGAGGTGGGTCCCACGCGGATCACCTCGGGACCTCGCGGTGCCCTGGGGGCTGCGATCTGCGCAACTGTCGCCACTTTCGTGGGCTCCTGGGAGGCCCAGCGGAGGTACGTCCCACGCGGATC